ACATTTTTTGTAAAGTTATTTATTTCCATGTGGGCAACAGGAATCGAAGCGGACTATAAATACTGGTTTTTTTAAATATCTCGACTCTTGTGCCACGTAGCGGATTAATTCCTCTTTCTTGTTGCTTGTCATCGGGTTTTGAGCTAAGTTTAAAGTTTCAAGTATTTAGGCTATCGGGGAAGTATTCAGAAATCGCAATACTGCACGTTCTTAAAAACATATATTCCACTTACATACATATGTGTGTACATTAGACTGCCTCACTCCCCATACAAAAAAAAAAAAATCGTAACTGTGTTCCCATTGGAATTATAAAATCTGTTGTATTTTAAGACGCCCACCAAAATATTTCTGTACTATATACTAAGATTTACGCGAGCTGGACCGATTTGTAAGTACCTCCAAAAATGGAGTTTTTTATGAATAAAAATAGTTTCTTAAAGACTTTTTTGGAAAAAAAGCCCCTCAAATGACAAAACGGTTTGAGCTTAAAAAATTTGCATAAAAAATATATACATTTTTTTAATTTTCAACGGAATCGTAATAATGAGATTGTTGATGCTGTTTTTTTCTTTAATTTTTCAAAGATTGGTATAAAAGAAAACTTGAATAACTGAACCTAAACTATTCCGATTTAGACTTGTGAGGTATCATTGTATAGGTATTTTCTCACCCTTTTTATTTCTTTGCCAATAAACTCATTCAAGGGATGAAAGAGAAAGGTAGGATGAACGAGCGGCATTCCGAGTTGAATTAAGGTGTGCTGGTATATGAAAAATAGGGACGTGAATGAGTTTTTTTCACAGAAATAAAAGGGGAGGGAAAATACCTTTCCAATGATACCTAATAAGTCTAAATCGGAATAGTGTTGATCCAGTGTTTCTCAAACCACTATTCGAAAAAAGTTAAAAAACAGCATCAAAAATCTCATTACTACGATTCCGTTCAAAAGATTTTTGAATATTTTTATGCAGGGTTTTTAAGCTTAAACTGTTTTGTCTTTTTGTGATTTTTAGGCATAAATCTCGTTGCCTGGAGATCACGGTTACCAAATCTCATTTTTGCCACACCGGCGATTTTGGCGGTTTTGCAACTGGTCAATGGGCGGTTTTGCAAAAACATCGACGATATGTATGTTCATATCGTCACCTGGAATGCAAAAAGACGTAACAACATAGTCACTGAAATGGAAAAAGTCGTAACTAGTATTTTTTTTTTTTATAAACGATGTGGGGAGTTGTAATTCGATGAAATCCATCATATCAATCAAAAAGTGAATTTTGAATTTTTCATTAGTTACGACTTTTTGCATTTCAGGTGACGATGTTTGTTAGATACGTCTTTTTGCATTTCAGGTGACGATATGTATGTATGTAGACCGTTTCAATACTTAGAAAATGAAAACAAAACAAAACCATTATAAATGTTAATTTAATATTTGCGATAACTAAATTCACACGAATAAATGATTTGGACCCTCCGTAAATATGGAAGTGCGTGTGAGTGGGTAGAGAACTACAACAACAGTATACATAGTTAACTTCACATTAAGCTTAAAGTTCGTGCTGTAGCACTTAATATAATTCCACACAACAGGTAATAACTATTTAGTAGGGGCACACTCTCATGGCGTGCGCTTTGTTTGCGAGTAGGACTCAAGATAGCTGCCACATGTAGGTATTTCTTGATTTTTCTGAAATCGCCAGTATTTGCACTAAAAATCGAAACAATTTTACATAGTGCACTTTGCAAGTGGACTACTCGCTTCCATTCCACAGGGCCTGGGTTCGGGCCCAGTTTAACGAAATTTTGCTGGCATCTCATATTTCCAGCTGACTCCTCCCATTACAGTCCTTAAATGCTTCGCTGTTTCTGAAGCTTAAAAATTTGAGAGCATTCGCTTTTTCGTGAGGGTGTAAGTAAGTCCGGCTATGGCAACAAAGGACGAAAACATATGAGTAGTCCACTTGCAAAATGCGCTATGTAATTTTTTTTTGATCTTTAGTTTTTGGTGGTTAACGTACCAGTATTTAAAGTAGTTTCATGTCCACTGACAATACACTGCAAAATCTTTCTATATTCTGAAAAAATGGCTCTAGCAAAAGTCGCTATAATACTTACTGTATGTGTATATACAGCGTGGCGACGAATAACTGTTACCCAGGTTTTTTTTTGAGAAATAGAAGAGTCCTTTATAGATTTTGCGAAAAAAGTATGTTATTGTTAATTTTCCACAGATTTTACTTTAGTTGTATTAATTAGTTTTTAAATTTTAATCCTTATTTACATTTGCCAGCAGTGTAAACTTTGAGAGAAAAGTTCATTTGGCACGCAGGTCCTCGTCAGTTAATTTGTTCCATATCTTCTGTAACCATAGGCTAATTTTCTCCATTTTGAGTCCCTTATACTCCCCCTTCTGTCCAAAATAAGGCCTCATACTCAAAAATCTAATAGACTCGGGACTGGTGACTAGGACGGCCATTCATTCGACCAACCTTATACAGTTTTTTTCTTTTTTGTACTTTTTTTATACAAAGCCTAAGAAAAAATACACCTGAAAAAGACTTGCGTGCCAAATGAACTTTTCTCTCAAAGTTTACACTGCTGGCAAATGTAGATAAGGATTAAAATTTAAAAACTAACTAATACAACTAAAGTAAAATCTGTGGAAAATTAACAATAAAATACTTTTTTCGCAAAATTTATAAAG